AAATTTTGGTCGGAAAATTGTCAAATCAGGATTTGAGGGTTATTTTTACTTTCCCGATCAGGATCGAGGGGTAAAATCGGAAGATCCCGCCTAAATCAGGAAAGTTGGCATGTATGCATTTTCTTCTAAAAAAAAAAAACTTTCCGCCACAAAATATAGTTCCCAGCTTAATCCTATTTGTATGGAATTTAATCTTGGTTTTTTCCTTCAGTATAGTTTAATTTGTATTGTAGAATCCAAATTTAATGTAAGAACTTAAATACGATGCAGAATTTAAAAATAAAGGTCTAGACAAAAATCGACTCAAAAGCACAGGATCGAACCTCCTTAAGCGTTTTGGTCATATTAATTTCTAGAATAACAAACCTGATGGAATAATCTTGATTGAATTTTGTTTACTGAAATTTTCATTTGTCATGCGGTTGAACAAGTTTTGAAATTTACTAGCCCACACCAACTTTTACTCACATATGGCCTGCGGGCAAGTGTTAAGTTTAAGGGTCCTCCACACACCCCCATTCTATGTTCTCATATAAGTGAGCATTACTTTTAACAAGCATATCAACCAGCCTTTACAATCAGGCCAGGAATCAAAATATTACTTACTCAATTTTTTTTTTTAAATTAAAGGTCATAAGTTTTTAAAAAATTAAATGTCAAAGTTTCAAGATTTTTTTCCATTGAGATTTGATTTGTAGCACAACAAATTTAGCTTTTTCCTCTTATATAATTAAGCTCAAAAAACAACCACAAAAATTTTAGTTTCATCAGTCAACATGTTTTTTAAAGAAATTAATTGTAGTTAAAAAAAATTAATAAAACTCATTTTCTCTAAAGTTCATGGAGATTAAATTAAGGAAGACTCCTGATAGTATGGAGGAATTATCAATAAATTAATTTACAACAAGAAATTGAATCAAATAAAATTTATTGATGCAGAAAAATTATTTCAAAATCTTTGGTATCGAAGTTCCCTTTTAGAGTTATCTTTCCTGTTGCCTGGGACTCAAAAATTTTGGTAAGTCACCGTATAGGTAATCATACTCAAGTTACTCATTAATGGCAATAGATCAGGAAAGATCTATATAAATGAGCAAAACAGATCAGGACAGATCTATGTAAATGAGCAAAGCTAGAAATGCATACTATTTATACCATATTTATAAACACACAATGAGATAGGTATTTTTGGAGCTAACAAATCAGTGTGCAAAAATATCAACTTTCACATCAGACTTTGTTGATGATATTTATCACAATGGATTGTATTTGAATAACCAAAAACTTTCCTTGTAGATATACAAGTACCTTATATTTAACGTAGGTCACGGGTTTGCTGACGTCATCCCCGGGGGTGGGATGGGGCCACAATGGGGGATCAAAGTTTTACGTAGAAATATATGGGAAAAATCTTTTTCTCAAGAACAGAAAAGCCATAAAGATTAGTCATATTAATATGGAGGCATCCTTAAGTAGAGTAGAATCAAATTTGTTCAAATGAAGGCCCCCAGGGCAAGGGTGTGGCCACAACTGGGGATTAAATTTTTACAAATGAATATATAGGAAAAAATCTTATGCTCAAGAACAGCAAAGCCATATGTTATATTGATATGGAAGCATCATCAGGTAGTTTAAAATTCAAGTCCCCCTTTTCTGATCACACATTTTCCGTTGTCATGAAAGCTTGCAGACATAATGTAGATTCTAAGTTCTTCAAAACATGGTCCCTGGCAGTAGAACGAGGCCACGGTAGATCAGAGTTTTTCATTTGACTATGTATGAACAAATCTTTCAAAACCTTTCTATTAAGAAGAACTGGACTAGAAAATATGAAACTTATGTTCAAGCTTTCTGACATAATGCAGATTCTAAATTATTCAATTCATGGTCCCCAGGGGTAGGGTGGGGCTACAACAATGCACCAAAATTTACAGGGACTATTTTAGAAAAAAGAAATTTAACTCTTCCCAAGATTCAGAATAGAAACCATCAGTATGCAAACATTTCTAAGTTGTGTGGATTCAATTTTTTTTCACATTATAGATTCTGGGTTAGAATTGGCTACAACTGGGATTTATTTGAATGCATATATACAGGGAAAGATTCTTATATAGGATTACTGCAAGGCATTGTTTATCAAATTGATTTTATAGCATCTCTATGTTATGTGCATTCATAGATCCCTTTGAGTTAGGTTTGGGCCATAATATGGGCTGACATTTTTTTACTGGAATATAAAGGGGAAAATCTTTTGAAAAACTGAAAAAGAATAGCAGGGTTAAAGTTACTCAGTTGAGTGTTGTGACCCATGGGTCTTTTGTTATTTTAATTCTTTTGAAACTATTTCTCAAGTTTGATGTTGTAACACTATGAAAATTTGCAACAGTTGATTTGTATCTAAAATCTTGTTATCACATTCAATCACTAGACCCCGACTCCTAGTGATGTCACTTCTTACTGAATTTACCCAATGTTCAACTCCCATGAGTACTTTCAGTACTTTGATTTTTCTTTTTAGGTCACCTGAGTTACTCAGGTGACCTATTGCTATCTCTTTTCATCCATTGTCGTGCGGCATTATCGTTCGTCAGTCGTAAACTTTTGAACATTTTCAGCTTCTTCTCTGGAACCAGTGAACCAATTTCAACCAATTTTGGCATATTGCATCTATGTGTGAAGGGGAACAAAATTTATGATATTCGTTGCCCCTGCCCCCCAGGAGCCTGAGGGGTGGGGCCAAAACCATCAAAATTAATGCAATCTCTAAAAATTTTCTTTACTCCTGGACATCAAGCAGTCAAACTGTTGGCATGATTGTAATAAGCATTGAGCCCTTTACCAAAATTGTGAAATTCATGGCCCCAGGGTCAGGGGTTCTGGTGTAAGGGCAGGGCTATATAGATCGTACAGTAAAAGTTCATTATTTCTTTGAAAATCTTCTTCTCTACTCCTTGGTATTATTATGAACAAATTAAATACATTGTTGTGATAAGCAAGGGTGACTCTACCAAAATTGTGAATTTCATGGCCCCAGGGTCAGGGGTTCTGGTGCTAGGGCAGGGCTTTTTATAGATCTTATAGTAAATTTGCATTATTTATTTGAAAATCTTCTCTACTCCTGGGTATTATTGAAACAAATTAAATACATACAGTACAGGCAACGCAGATCCCGTATTAGACTGCGTCCCCTCGGCGGTGTGTTAATCCTTTCTGCGTTACACCGTCACGGGTTTTGAATGTGGTACTACCTGCGACCGTGTTAACACCGCGGCGGGGTCAGCTACCGTTATTCTGCAGTTTGAGTGTTGTTACCTGTAAACGGTTGTCGATAATCACGTTGAGTGAATGGTTATAAAAAATAAGTAAGTTTACGGTTGGAATTATTTTCAAATATATGCATAATATTGTGTACATGTATAAATGTTGTACTACTATTAAGTTACATATATGTATGTCGTTATATTTTTTTCTTTGATTTCAAATATAATGTCACTAATTTTTCCCCAATATTATTTACCGATATTCGAACTATAACATTTGTAATTCCCTAAAGTAATGACACGTTTATCTAGAAGTATGCATCATGTAATAGCTAAATATTGTTTGTCGATCTGCTCTGAAATTTGGATTAAATATGTCAGCTCATTTAGAGTTTTAATCCATCTGTTTTTATATTTAAAAAAAAATCAATCTTGTAATTCTTAACTAATTCATTTCAATCTTAGATATTTTTCATCGTTTCAAAATTGAAATTGCATCAAAATGCAGTTTCCTCGATCAGCTTGTGCGGTCCATTTTCTAGACTATTTTTCCTCTGCTTAAATATCAGTATTAAAGATCATGTTAGGTGAACAAAATGTTGTACTAGAATTCGTGCATCTCAATTCAGAAATGTCTTTAGTCATATAGCAAAATGACGTGTGTTTTTTTTCAAAAAAATATTGAAGATGTTGCCATTTTGTTTTTCAAATTAATCACATAAAATTCAAATGTACAGTTCTCTCAGGTGCCCCTTTCTTTATCCAGTAATTGTAGAGTAACTCTTTGTTAATTGAAAGTATGGAGTATACTTCTCGGTCGATCGCACACAACTGACCAGGTACCGTTACTCAGGTACTCAGGCGCAAAGGACAAGGTATGGTAAAGGCCGAATCTAGCCCCTTATATGATGTAAAAATCAGAACACAGTTAAAATTGTGATAGTTTGTAGATAAAAACTTAAAATGATGCTTGTTTTAAAACCAGCACTAATTTTGATTCAAAGCTTACACGGAGGCCACAAGAGGTTGCAGAAGTAGGACATTTTCCTGAATTTCCTCAATTCTGGTGAAATTTCGTCAAATTTGAGATACTTTTCACTTCGAGAAACATGGAGCACAAGCTTGCCTATCTGAGATTTTTATACATAAGATGCATCTAATACTAGTGTATGAAATATATAAATTTGGTAGATAGGCAAGCTTGTGCTCTATGTTTTCTGAAACAAAATGTGCTGTAAAATCGATGAAAATTTGCATAAAAATGAGAAAATTCGGAAATTGACATATTTTCTGACCTTCCTGCGACCTCTGTGTAACCCATAACTTAGAACCAATACTCATTTTGTGGCAGGGGTAGCAACAGGTTTCTATTGATTAACTGTTGCATCGTTCCAAAAGACACCCCAAACCAGGGGCCAAATGGGGTCTTAGCCTATCTTGTCCTTTAGCAGACCCTGGAGCGTTATGTAATACTTCCTGTTCTAATATACACAGACAATCAGTATTTACTTCAAAACCTCTGACCTTAAAAATCACTTCATATATCTCTTACTTGTCCTTTTTCAATAAGTTATAAAACAAATTTTTTGTTCTTTTTTTTATTTTCTAAGAAGACAAGCAATAGAAACATACAGTTTATCTTCTTATGAATTACAGAACAACTCATACAATTGAACATGCAGATATTTAACATTATATTCAAAAGATTATAACAGTCTCGTCAATTTAAAAGTTGACCACTGTAAACACAACTAGCATAAGAAACAATGCCAAATCACACAAGTTTCATATAATGTCAGTAATTCATCCCAAGGTAAGCACAAAGTCTATTCCGTGAAAGTAAATACATCATCCTCACACGTGGGCTCCAGGGGAGGGATGAAAATGTCACAGACGGAAATGTCACTTAAAGCATTGACCTTCTTGCATCTTTTGTCGTTCCTTCGAAGTGACTCGTTAACTCTAGAAACAATATGCTCTTTCCACGCATCATCACTGGCAACCTCAGGATAAAAGAAACACACATATTTTCGAACAACTGTCTTCCTCACGGGGTCCAATTCCCTTTTGTTGTGTTTTCCACCGCCATACCAGTTATACTGGAAACACAGATTCCCTTCTCCAAAGAGCTCTGGCCACAATCTCCTGGATAGGATGACAGCAAAGTTCCCAGCGTTTCTGGAATCTCTCACGATCTGTCGGAGTTCGCTGTCTTCTAATTTGTATTCCTCTGGAATATCACTGACATGTAGATTATCATCACTGGTTGGTTCACTTGTCACAGTCGGTGTTTCCTGTGGTCTTTCACGCTCGGAGTTTCTGCCAATGTCAATCAGAATGTTAGTGTTCCCTAGGAGAGTCTTCAGAGGGGCCTCATAAGCCGCACTTCGACGATTGGAAGCATCAACCTTTTTATTTGAAATGTCTATTATCTGTTGCATATCATTCATCTTCTTCATCATGCACATTAGGGCCGAGTGCATGCTCTCTTCCCCTGTAGATTCCCTGTAGGCTCGGAATCGCACAGGAGTTGGATGGCGTGCCCGTCGATGTGGTCGGAGTTTCTTTTGGCTCTGTCTGAGTCACAAGCGCATTGTGGCTGCTAACTGTCGGTTGCGCCGTGACGGAAACATCAGGTGGGGATCCATCAGCAATGATGGTTGCTATAGGCTTTCCAGATTTCTCCTGAAATGGAATAAAAATTTAGTCTACAATATTTTTATTAAAAACAATTATTACTATTCATACTTTAAATCATAAGTTTCTCACATTTCCTACGAATAGCTTGCAATATGTGTTGTTAACAGTTGTTAAAAATATTCTTTACAATATCTTACAATATCGATAATCATGATAAATTATACAACGTATTACACCAAACTCGAATTTATGTGTAATTTATTTTATTTATTTATTTATTTTTATGTCTGGACTTTAGTCTGTTCAAGTGAAGGGGGTTGGATTTCCCAGGATTTTATATTGCTGAAATTAATTAGATACATGTAAGAACTATTTGTGAATTAATTTTGTATATGTGTAAAATGAAGTTTATTTGAAATATAGTAAACATTATGTTTATAATCGTAAAAATCTTCCTAATTAAACTCCTGTATTAAACAAGAGGCCCAAGGGCCTTAACGGTCACCTGAGTATGATACAACAATTTCAAGGATGCATAGAGTATTAAATGAACTGAAAGGTGAAGCTTTGTTGCCCAAAAGCAAGAAAAATAGGGTGATCATGATCAACAAAATAATTGGTCTTAATATTCATTAACAGTTCATAAATTAGGTTCTAATCTGTTCCCCATTTTATCACTATCACTATACAGTATATTAACAAATTATCAATGCTTCTGTACTATTTTAATCCTTTGTTGAAATCTCTTACATTGGCATCTCTTGGTCTTTGATGAATATTTAATAAGACAAGTAATTTTTGTCTCATTTTTATTTATCTACTACTTACAAGTCTATCTGATCATTAAAACTATGAAAGTACTTTTTGTATTATACAATAAAAGTTTTTGCATAATTCTCTTGTTCTATTTACCTTTCAAGTACATTATTTACAGTGATTAATTATCAAAAGTAAATGGCAAAGGGGAATAACTCCTCTCAGTAGAATACAAACTAATAGAGCCCTGGCCAGGACCAGAACACTTGACCAAATGGTCCAGATGTTCAAAAATCTGGTAAAAATTCCCTTCCTTATAAGAACTTTTACTCTGTTTGCCTCAGATATGCCCAGGTGCGGAGAAGATTTTTAAATAAATAATGCATTTTTACTACAGATTCACTATATTATCAATAGAGCCCCAACCCCCAACCCCCCACCCCCAAAACACCAGAGCTTCTGACCCTGGGACCATATGTTTGCTCATCATCACTTTGTTTATCTGCTTAACACTAAGGAGCAAACAGGATTATTTAATAGAATTAATGCATTTTCACTAAATTATCAAGAGCCCCACCCTCACACCAGCACATCTGACCCAGGGGTCATGAAATTTACTACTCTGGAAGAAGCACACTTGCTCATCATAACTATACACTTAGCTTCTTTGCTTTTTTAACCAGAAGAAGAAAAGAATATTTTCAAAGAAATTTTGCTTTTTCACTTTATAATCAATAGAAGCCCCCCCCCCCCTTCCCCCTCACCAGAACCCTTAAACCCGGGGTCATAAAATTCACAATTTTGGAAGAGGCATCCTTGTGTATCATAACAATGTACTTTAGTCTGTTTAAGTAATACCCAGGGGCAGAGAAGAAGATTTTCAAAGAAATAATTCACCTTCACTATAGGATCTATATAGCCCCGCCCTAGCACCAAAACTCCTGTCCCCGGGGCCATGAATTTCACAATTTTGGAAGAGGCATCCTTGCTTATCATAACAATGTACTTAGTTTGTTTAAATAATACCCAGGTGCTGAGAAAAAGATTTTTAAAGAATTAAAACATTTTCACTTCATAATCAATAGAGCCCCGCCCTAACACCAGAACCCCTGATCCAGGGGCCACGAATTTCACAATTTTGAAAGAGGCATCCTTGATTATCATAACTATGTATTTAATGTGTTTCAATAATACCCAGGAGTACAGAAGAAGATTTTCAAAGAATTAATGCATTTTCACTATATAATCAATAGAGCCCCACCCTAACACCAGAACCCCTGACCCAGGGGCCATGAAATTCACAATTTTGAAAGAGGCACTCTTGCTCATCATAACTATGTACTTAGTTACTGAACTTAATACCCAGGAGCAGAGAAGAAGATTTTCAAAGGATTAATGCATTTTCACTATATAATCAATAGAGTCCCGCCCTAACACCAGAACCCCTGACCCAGGGGCCATGAAATTCACAATTTTGGAAGAGGCACTCTTGCTCATCCTAACTATGTACTTAGTTAGTTTATTTAATATCCAGGAGCAGAGAAGAAGATTTTCAATGAATTAATGCATTTTCACTATATAATCAATAGAGCCCCACCCTAACAGCAGAACCCCTGATTCAGGGGCCATGAAATTCACAATTTCTGAAGAGGCACTCTTGCTCATCATAACTATGTTTTTAGTTAATTTCTTTAATACCCATAAGCAGAGAAGAAGATATTCAAAGAAATAATGCATTTTCACTATATAATCAATAACCCCCCCCCCTTCACCAAAACCCCTGACCCAGGGGCAATGAAATTCAAAATTTCTGAAGAGGCACTCTTGCTCATCATAACTATGTACTTAGTTAGTTTATTTCATACCCATAAGCAGAGAAGAAGATTTTCAAAGAAATAATGCATTTTCACTATATAATCAATAGAGCCCCCCCCCCCCTTTCACCAGAACCCCTGACCCAGGGGCCATGAAATTCACAATTTTAGAAGGGGCATTCTTGCTTATCATAACTGTGTACTTAGTTAGTTTATTTTATACCCAGGAGCAGAGAAGAAGATTTTTGAAGAAATAATGCACTTTTACTATATGATCTATATAGCCCCACCCTATCCCCAGAACCCCTTACCCTGGGGCCATGAATTTCACAATTTTGGTAGAGGGCTCAATGCTTATTACAATCATGCTAACAGTTTGACTGCTTGATGTCCAGGAGTAAAGAAGAAGATTTTTAAAGATTGCATTAATTTTAGTGGTTTTTGCCCCACCCCTCAGGCCCCAGGGGGGCAGGGACCATGAAATTCACAAATTTTGTCCCCCTTCACCCATAGATGTTATATGCCAAATTTGGTTGAAATTGGTTGAGCGGTTTCAGAGAAGAAGCTGAAAATGTTCAAATGTTAACGCACGACGCACGCCGACGGACGAAAACGGATAGCAATAGGTCACCTGAGTGACTCAGGTGACCTAAAAAGGGGAGAATACACGAATGGGACGGGATTTTTTTTTTATATTTTCACGTGTGCGAATGTACACATTGAAGTAATATGAAATACAAGTAACACTTATGATTAAATAGAATGACTTCTTCCTATACGTTGTGTTTAATCATTATGATAAATCTGTTACGAGTGAATTGGTTGTCAAAAAGTTGGAAGGTAAATTTAAGATTGGATTTACCACTGTACCTATTACACAATGTTAGTTAATTTCCTCGCTTTTGTGTATATCAATGATACCAAGCGATCTTTTCTACCGTATCCCCTCGTGTTTGGTCAAGTGAAACGGCTTACCTGATAACTTGACAGCGATGGTTAAAAGTCAGTACACATGGTACATGGAATCACTACACCTAAACAATTTTTTTTTCTCAATAAAATTAGAATTCAGGAAACTTAAAATAGCTATTTTAAAAAAAAAAAAACTATATTAAAAGGGGGAAATTATTTTAGGAAGATGTCAAGATAACAAATAAAAAACTCTATAAACCAAAACTAAATTGCGTAACACCAGGGGCAGATGTACGTCCCATGTAACATTGCGTAACTTGCTCAAGATTGTCAGCATACCAACACCCCAACTACACCATTCTTACAGTATACGAAGAAGAAAATGGGGCGGATTCGTCACGTAGTAAAACTACGCATTATCCAAATGCACAGAAATGGTTCCTCAACTGCCACAATACACAGAGAGCTGCGTTCTTTGGGACACACGGTTAGCAAAGACACTGTATCTTATTGGATACACAAGTATCAGATTGGATTATTTGGCGATATTCATGAACCAGACACCCCAGTGGTATCAACGAGCATTAGTCTTAGGGACACTGAACTGATAAAAGAATACATATCGAAAGACAGTACTGTATCAAGCACGGAAATCCATTGGATGATGAAGGAAGACGGTGCAAGCTTTGGACTGAGTACAACAAAGTGGGCCATAACAGCAAGTGGTTTTACTCATTCTAAACCAAGATATGGACAAATGGTTCGTGACGCTAACAAAGTTAAACGAGTTGCATTCTGTGAACATTTGATTGCCGAGAACGACAAGTTTGACAACGTTATATTTTCAGATGAGTGTTCAATTCAGCTACACCAAAACAAACTCTCTAGTTATCGACTCAAAGATTCCTGTGCTACGGTTCTACCAAAGCCGAAACACCCACTCAAGATCCACATCTGGGCGGTGATAAGTAAATGTGGGGCCTCTAAAATTAGACTTTTTGAGGGCATAATGGATTCGACATTTTACATCGAGAACATATTGCGGGACACTCTCTTGCCATTTATTCAGTCGAACTTTGGTACTGAACCTCACAGATTTCAGCAAGACAACGATCCCAAACATACATCCAAGATCTCCAGGAAGTTTATGAATGATAACCAGATCAATTGGTGGGATGAATGGCCAGCAGGTATTTATCTAATTTTTGTAATTTAATCTTAAAGACGTCATTATTAAAATTTTCTTTCAGCAATGTTCAGCAATGTTTCAGTATTCAATAAGTTAAATGATAAATTAAATGATAACTGAATTGTCTTATTTATCTATGATTCACTTTGTCATTTTCATCAATATTACAATTTATCTTTTTACTGATAATAATTTTTTTATTGCAGAGAGCCCTGACCTCAACCCCATTAAAATGGTATGGAACGAGTTAAAGAGATGTGTTGCTAGGGAAGCCCCAAGGACAAAACATGATTTGCAGGAGTGTGTTGTGCGATTCTGGAGGACGGAAATGACCCCAGAAAAGTGTTCTACCTACATTGACCATGTCTACAAAGTTGTTCCGATGTGCGTACTGATGAAAGGAACTGCAACTGGTGATATGCCTAAAAAACTGTTCAACGAGAGATCGCGGGGGAAGAGTATCGCAGTCTACTTCAGGAGTAAATTATGTTAAGTTGTGTGTAGTGCAATATGTGAACTGTGAACTTTATTATCTAGACATTCCTCAGACTTTGTGCATTTTACAACTAGCTTTGATGTATTTTTAACTATTGACATGATATATGATATTATATTTTGACAATTTATCTTAATAAAACATTCTAATCTTTGTATTAAAAAGTTGTAACTTCTTGGATTTAAGGGTATGAAATAAAAAAAATTACAACAAAAAATATGATCAGAGAACATTACAAATAATACGTGTGCATTTGTTTTATACCTATTTCGTGGTTCAAATGATTGTGCATTTGTTATTGAAATCTCTTGATAAACGAACAAAGATAATAGTCAGGGTTCACTGCACACGGCTTGGGCACATTGTATTACCGTGTTTTCGGTACTTAACATTCAATACATGAATTGATGATCAAGTGGTAATTAATAAACATAAGTCTTTTAGAAGTATAATTTTTTTCAGAAATGTAGATCATTCAATCATAATGAAAATATTGAAAGTACAGAAGGAGATCAGGTTGATTCCATTTCTATCAACAGGTCCATATGAACAATCAAAACTACCAAAAATTCTTTGACAAAAAAAGGTTATCAGATGGTATTACTGAGGAGGCACTAACATACAGAAGCTTTGTTTTTCTATTATAATAGTATTCGATTTATGCCCCCCTCTCGTGTCTCCGGTTCCTGTGGCTATAATAGAACCAATATGTAAAATCCTGTGTAATTGACCATTTGAACAAATTAATATGTACATGTATACATGTATGTAGCCCAAAGAAACATGGTCATAATTATATACACATCATTTGACACACACATCTATACAAATAAACTCGAGAACTACTGTAATTTTCTGTCATGCGTGGATATGTGGCCCCCCCCCCCTTCCCGAAGAATTCACGGAACCGCGCATATCTAACGTTTGAACTTATCTTCTCCTACTAAAAAAGAACAAAGGTTTACTTACAAGGGTCTTTGGAATTTTCCTTTGTTTTGGTGCTGGAGATGCTGGTGGAGAAGGCGATAGCGGGCTTGGGGGAGGGCTCGGAGATGATGGCTCTGTCAAACTTTCCATCTCTCTCATCTTCACTCGAAGCTCCTGTTCAGACCTGGTACCAAGAACTATGGCTCGATCCACTTCCTTAGGGAGACCCCACTGGACGTCATACTCTTCACCAACAGAAATCACAATGTCACTATCACATATGAAGTACGCACGGCTCCTCACTTGGAAATTGTCATCACACAGATATTTGACTAGAAAATGTTTGTCTTCACACACACCGGATCTCCTCGCCATAATACTAGTGAAATCGCAGAATGATATATCCTTTCACTGCAACGACTTTTATGAAACTGAATAAAAAATGGCCCACAAGCACCACGATAGTTCTAGGGATTTCCTTGAAGTTATAATTAAGAGTACATCGCTTTTGTTATGTTGTATGATCAATCGGCTAAGGGGCTTGATAGATCAATTAAGGGAAAGCAATTAAAATAATTATGTGTGACGTTAAAGTAACCTGTGTTTATTTTATTATAATAGATAATAAGCCAGTCGGTGTTTCCAGATAAGAAAAAAATATCCACTATCATTATTTTTTTATTTATTTATTTCTCCGTTTGTTGAAACATTTTATTGAAAACTTTTTAAATACTTCTATTCAAATTGTATTATTGATTGGGAACGATAAATTTATATAGAAGGAAATAATCTACACAAATTTACCTCTGTAGATTTTCATTTGAAATTAAGAAAAAAAAGAAAGAGGAAAGCAGCTGATGTGTGGTATTTCAGTGAGTTTAGCAAGCTCGCAATAAGATCAAGTAGAACAGGTGTAAATCTCCATGGGCATGGTTTTCTCTGCTCTTGGTCTGTTAATCCATATACGCTGGAAATGATCGCAACTGAAACCGAATGCACAGAAAGCAGAATATATACATATGCTTTCGTTTATTAACTAAAGCCAAATTTACCTCGTTTTTTTTTCTTGTGGATTTCTAAAAGCTGACCGAACTCGCACTGACTTTTAGCATGTGCATTTTATAAATTTAGTTAATTGTAGTTCGCATATTTTAAACAGTAAAATTATAAGCTCCCATTTCGTTTTTGTTGCCTAGTTTAAATGACGAAGATAATAAAAGCACATTTTTGAATTATATACTATCGATCTTCACTGAAATCCTCATTTTATATATATTATAAAATTATTAAGACAGCTTTTAATATTTCTGCTTTATTATCATTTTCAAATTACTTTTTTCATTTTTTCTTTCATATTTAGATAAGTAAAAATTAATTAATAAGATTCGTTAGTTATGCAGAGAAGTTGACATAAATTAATTTCGCTAATTTCTGTTCGGGGAGATAACTCCTGTTTGTTTATGATACTTTTTGATCGATGATTGAACCGCGGCGGCCCAGGTAGGTGATTAGTTTACCGCGGAGGGAACGCGGTTTACATATCTCACCTGGCCAAATCCCGCGTTGTGTATATACCGCGACGGGGCGCAGAAAATACATGATCCGCGTTGCCTGTACTGTAGTTATGATAAGCAAGGGTGACTCTAACAAAATTGTGAATTTCATGACCCCAGGTTCAAGGGTTCTGGTGAAGGGGGTGGGGGGTTTCCATTGATTATAGAGTGAAAAAGCAAAATGTCTTTGAAAATATTCTTTTCTGCTTCTGGTTAAAAAAGCAAAGAAGCTAAGTGTATAGTTATGATGAGCAAGAGTGCTTCTTCCAGAGTAGTGAATTTCATGACCCCTGGGTCAGATTTGCTGGTGCAAAGGTGGGGCTCTTGATAATATAGTGAAAATTCATTAATTTTATTAAATAATCCTGTCTGCTCCTTAGTGTTAAGCAGATAAACAAAGTGATTAGTTATGATGAGCAAACTTATGGTGCCAGGGTCAGAAGCTCTAGTGTTTCTCGGTTGGGGGGGGGGGGGGGGGGGGGCTCTATTGATAATGTGAATCTGTAGTAAAAATGCATTATTTCTTTAAAAATCTTCTCTGCACCTGGGCAATCTGAGGAAAACAGAGTAAAAGTTTTAATAAGGAAGAGTTTTTTTTACTAGATTTTTTAACATCTTGACCATTTGGTCAAGTGTTCTGGTCCTGGGCAGGGCTCTATTAATTTGTATTCTACTGAGAGGAGTTATTCCCCCTTTGCCATTTACTTTTGATAATTAATCACTGTAAATAATGTACTTGAAAGGTAATTAGAATAAGAGAATTATGCAAGAATTTTTATTGTTTAATACAAAAAGTACTTTCATAGTTTTAATGATCATGTAGACTTGTAAGTAGTGGATAAATAAAAACGAGACAAAAATAACTTGTCTTACTAAATGTTAAACAAAGACCAAGAGAGGTCAATGTAAGAGATTTCAACAAGGGATTAAAATAGTACAGAAGCATTGATAATTTGTTAATATACTGTATGGTGATAGTGATAAGTGGGAAACAGATTAGAACCTAATTTATGAACTGTTAATGAATACTAAGACTAATTATTTTGTTGATCCTGATCACCCTATTTTTTTTTTTTTTTTTTTGCTTTTGGGCAACAAAGCTTCACCTTTCAGTTCATTTCATACTCTATGCATCCTTTGAATTGTTGTATTATACTCAGGTGACCGTTAAGGCCCTTGGGCTTCTTTTTTAAGATTTGGAAGCAAGTAGACAATAAACTGATCCAAATTTTATTGGCAGTTTAAAATCTTTCTGTACCATTATAGTAAGTATTGGTCAGTATTGATTTACACATGAATTATACATGTATTTGAGTTTAGAATCAGTTGTTTCGTATTCGTAAAAATTATTGATAAATAATACATATGAATGTCATTATAAAATTGGCATAAAACTACCCCTACTACACTTAAAAGTGACCACCATTTTCAAGCAACTAAGGTATGGTATTGACAACTGGTTCAAGCAATATTCCATCTTTTACTTCATTTCAATCCACTATTATTTTCACTCATATCTTTTAAACTTGTACCTCAAGGAGGATATTCATGTCAGATTGACACATCTTGTAAGGTCACCTGAGTCACTCAGGTGACCTATTGCTTTCTTTTTAGCTCACCTGAGCCAAAGGCTCAAGTGAGCTTTTCTGATCAAAATTTGTCCGTTGTCGTTGGCGTTGTCGTCGTTGTCGTAAACTTTTCACAATTTCATCTTCTTCTCCAGAACCACTGGGCTAATTTCAACCAAACTTTGCACAGAGTATCCTTGGATGAAGGGGATTCAAGTTTGTTCAAATGAAGGTCCATGCCTTCTTCCAAGGGGAGATAATTGTGAATTCATGAAAAATTTATGGCATCTTTCAAAAATCTTCTTCTCAAGAACCACTGTGTTAGAAAGTTTGAAACTTATGTGGAAGCATCCTCAGGTAGTGTAGATTCAATTTTGTTCAAATCATGACCCCCGGGGGTAGGGTGGGGCCACATTGGGCGATCAAAGTTTTACATAGGAATACATAGAAAAAATCTTTAAATATCTTCTTTTCAAGAACAGCAAAGTCTTGATTGGTCATATTTATACAGAAGCATCCTCAGATAGTGTTGACTCAAGTTTGTTCAAATCATAACCCCCGGGGGTAGGGTGAGGCCACATTCGGCGATCAAAGTTTTACATAGGAATACATAGAGAAAATCTTTAAATATCTTCTTCTCAAGAACAGCAAAGTCTTGATTGGTCATATTTATATGGAAGCATCCTCAGATAGTGTTGATTCAAGTTTGTTCAAATCATGACCCCTGGGGGTAGGGTGGGGCCACAGTGGCGGTCAAAGTTTTACATAGGAATACATAGAGAAAATCTTTAAATATCTTCTTCTCAAGAACAGCAAAGTCTTGATTGGTCATATTTATATATGGAAGCATCCTCAGATAGTGTTGATTCAAGTTTGTTCAAATCATGACTCCCGGGGGTAGGGCGGGGCCACAGAGGGCGATCAAAGTTTTACATAGGAATACATAGAGAAAATCTTTAAATATCTTCTTCTCAAGAACAGCAAAGTCTTGATTGGTCATATTTATATGGAAGCATCCTCAGATAGTGTTGATTCAATTTTGTTCAAATCATGACCCCCGGGGGTAGGGTTGGGCCACATTGGGCGATCAAAGTTTTACATAGGAATACATAGAGAAAATGTTTAAAAATCATCTTCTGATTAGAACAACAAAGTCTTGATTGGTCATATTTATATGGAAGCATCCTCAGATAGTGTTGATTCAAGTTTGTTCAAATCATGACCCCTGGGGGTAGGGTGGGGCCACATTGGGCGATCAAAGTTTTACATAGGAATACATGGGAAAATATTTAAAAACCTTCTTTTCAAGAACAACTAAGCCAAGATTGGTCATATTTATATGGAAGCATCCTCAGGTAGTGTTGATTCAATTTTGTTCAAATCATGACCCCTGGGGGTAGGGTGGGGCCACAGTGGGCGATCAAAGTTTTACATAGGAATACATAGAGAAAATCTTTAAAAATCTTCTCAAGAACAGCAAAGTCTTGATTGGTCATATTTATATGGAAGCATCCTCAGATAGTGTTGATTCAAGTTTGTTCAAATCATGACTCCCGGGGGTAGGGCGGGGCCACAGAGGGCGATCAAAGTTTTACATAGGAATACATAGAGAAAATCTTTAAAAATCTTCTTCTCAAGAACAACAAAGCCAATATTGGTCATATTTTTATGGAAGCATCCTCATGTAGTGTTGATTCAATTTTGTTCAAATCATGACCCCTGGGGGTAGGGGTGGGGCCACAGTGCACGATCAAAGTTTTACATAGGAATATTTAGGGAAAATCTTTAAAAATTTTCTTCTCAAGAACAGCAAAGTCTTGATTGGTCATATTTATATGGAAGCATCCTCAGATAGTGTTGATTCAATTTTGTTCAAATCATGACCCCTGGGGGTAGGGTGGGGCCACAGTGGCGGTCAAAGTTTTACATAGGAATACATAGAGAAAATCTTTAAATATCTTCTTCTCAAGAACAGCAAAGTCTTGATTGGTCATATTTATATGGAAGCATCCTCAGATAGTGTTGATTCAAGTTTGTTCAAATCATGACTCCCGGGGGTAGGGCGGGGCCACAGAGGGCGATCAAAGTTTTACATAGGAATACATAGAGAAATTCTTTAAAAATCTTCTTCTCAAGAACAACAAAGCCAATATTGGTCATATTTTTATGGAAGCATCCTCAGATAGTGTTGATTCAATTTTGTTCAAATCATGACCCCTGGGGGTAGGGTGGGACCACAGTGCACGATCAAAGT